TTATTCATCTCGACTTAAAATATAAAATATTACACTCTCATCTCGAATTTCAAATTCATTACTAATACCTTGCTTTTCTCCAATAGGTGACAAGTAAATTGATAACTACTTTATGAAACTATTAAGAACTTATCTAACATAAAAAGAATTCAGTAAGTCTGATATTGTATGTAAAAAGAATACGAAAAGTTTTCCTTGCCGTCACATTCAACAAAAGCCTTTTTTTTTCCAGAACATAAACAATACCTATTTGATTCTGATTCTATAGTCAACAGCTGTCGTATGAAAAGAATCCAGAAAAAGAAAAAAAATAAATTGAAAACAAAAATGCAACAAAACCAATAAAAAGATATCTTTGAAAATTTACTTTACATCGAATTTCCTTACTCGACATTGCTACACCGAGAATTTCCTCCGTAAAATTTCGATTAAAATTTTTTTACAAGGATTCTTGCCATTGTGTTTCTCTCTTTCTAGAAAATTTTTAGATAAAAAAATAAAAACACATATGATACGTATGTTGAAACAATTGTTCCGAGTCTTGTCTTTATTAACACCTAAAGTTTTTCCTATAAAAACACGATTGAAAAGCCAGTGGCGGATTTAGAGGAAGTATTTAGGGCGATCGTTCTAATTCCAAAAGAATTTTCTCAGAAGAAAAAGCTTTAAAATGAGTTGATTCTATTTTTAATGAACGTCAAAACACATTTTATGATCATGATCGCTCCTTATCCCTATCGAAGCACCCTCTGCCCCCTCCTCCCTCATCATAAAAATCCTAGATCCGCTACTATGAAAATCCATAGAAATATCAATAAATAAACAGTAGAGCAAATGAATGACAAAAAAAGTGAAATAAACAATTGGTTATACAATAACCAATCAAAACAATAATTTTATTCTCTACAATGATCTTTATTCAACTGCATTAATAACTTAAATTCAAACAGAAACAAAGAAAAAAAAACGAAAAAAAAAATCAAATAAAGAAATTTTTTTGTTTTATTTTTCTTGTTGTCTTTTTTTCTTTTCGATGGAAAAATAAATGTCATCAATTGCAATAGTCATTTCGAAATAGACAGAGACAATCGATTTGTTTTTTATGTCTTCAAAACAGAGTATCGATACTATTCGAAATGGCTACATGTTGTTTTTTCTTGTCTTCGACATCATTCTATTTTATAAATTTATAGATAACAACATCACGAACGTATTGTTTCCTGTCATTCGTGTGTAAAGATCTCATAGCATATGAAAAATGGTGAAAACTAATTGAAAAAAACAAAGAAAAATCAATTATTATTTAAAATCTTTATATTTTCTCCCTCAATCCCATCCTGAACGTATTATTATTTCATCTGTTTCACAAAGAATTTTTTTTTCTTGTTATATCCCTTTTTGTTATTGGTTAAATGGCAAACGAACAAGATAAATTAAATATCGATGGAATTATTCAACGATTACTTGAATGTAATATATCAAAAAAAAAAACAAACAAACTTTTTTTTTATCTTTCGAATATATAACAATAAGTTTTGTTTTTTTTAATACTTTTTAACTTTAGTTCGTGGAGCTAAACCCAATAAAAATGTTCATTTAAGTGAAAATGAAGTACGTGGGTTATGTCTAAAATCACGAGAAATATTTCTTAGTCAACCAATTTTACTTGAACTTGAAGCACCACTTAAAATATGCGGTACGCAAAGAAAAAAACTTTTCTAAAAATTAATTGATCTTGCTTTTTTCTTTTAGGTGATATTCATGGTAGGCAATTTAAATATATACTTTGAACTTTTTTTTATCAAAGAAAAAAAAATTAAAATTTTTAGGTCAATATTATGATCTACTTCGTTTATTTGAATATGGTGGTTTTCCACCAGAATCTAATTATTTATTTCTTGGTGATTATGTTGATCGTGGAAAACAATCACTCGAAACAATATGTCTTCTATTAGCTTATAAAGTAATTGATTATCTGTTTCTTAATTTTTTTTGTTTTTATTAGAATTCTAAATAATTTATATTTTTCTTTTTTTTTTTTTTTTTTGAAAAGATAAAATATCCTGAAAATTTTTTTCTTCTTCGTGGTAATCATGAATGTGCATCAATAAATCGTATATATGGATTTTATGATGAATGTAAACGACGTTATAATATAAAATTATGGAAAACATTTACTGATTGTTTTAATTGTCTTCCTGTTGCTGCAATAATAGATGAAAAAATTTTTTGTTGTCATGGTGGTTTAAGTCCAGATTTACAATCTATGGAACAAATACGACGAATAATGAGACCAACTGATGTACCTGATCAAGGTTTATTATGTGATTTATTATGGTCTGATCCAGATAAAGAAGTTAATGGTTGGGGAGAAAATGATCGTGGTGTATCATTTACATTTGGAGCAGAAATTGTATCGAAATTTTTACATAAACATGATCTTGATCTTATATGTCGTGCTCATCAAGTTTGCTTATTTTATTTTAATAATATTGAAACAAAAAGAAATCTTTTTTTTTTGAAAATTTAAGGTTGTTGAAGATGGTTATGAGTTTTTTGCTAAACGTCAATTAGTTACATTATTTTCAGCACCAAATTATTGTGGTGAATTTGATAATGCCGGAGCGATGATGTCTGTTGATGAAACACTTATGTGTAGTTTTCAAGTAAAAAAATAAAAGAAATTTTTTTTTTTTATTTATTAAAAAAATAATTTATTCCTTTGTTATAGATTTTAAAACCATCTGAAAAGAAAGCCAAAACACCATCATTAAATAATACTCGTCCAGTAACACCACCACGAGGTGGTGCAAATACTGGTGCGAGAGAAGCCTTATTAAAAGATGGAAAAAAACCTATGTAAACCTGTGCAACGATTATTTCTATATATTAAATTTAAATTAAGACACACACACACACACACACACTGCTTTTTCAACCTTGGCTTATACTTTTTTTCCCTACCGGTTGCATAATCTTATTTAAATTATAACAACGTAGACATCATTCGTCTTTTGTATATAATCAAAATCATCTTTTTTTCTTTTGGTACGCATACGCATTTTCTCGCTCTCTTTCTCTCTCTCTCTCTCTCTTTATATATATATATTCATATATTTACTATAACTATCATACATTCATATATAGTTCATTTTTTTTTTCTTATTGTCGTCTTTGTCAGTTGTTTGGTTTTTCTTTCTTGTCTCTCTTTTTTCTATTTCAACATAAATGAAAAAGTTTTTTGTTCGCGTACGCATTTGACAGAATAATCGGTCGATTTATTCGTTTTTTTTTTCTTTTTGGTCTATATATATATATATGATTTCTAAATACATTTGGATGAAGTCGATCTATATGGCTAGACAGTAATAAACAACGAAAGATGAATGTCTACGCGTCAAATTAAATTTTTCTTCTTTCTTTTTTTTTTTCATTAGAACATGATCTTGTCAGCCAAAAATTCTTTTTTTTTTTTCTTTTTTTCTTCTGTGTGTGACTTCTATTTGAGAAGAATAAAAAATAAAAAAAAAAGGAATTTAAGTAGTACATTTTTGTGTTTTTGTTTTTGAAGTGTTTTGATAAATCATAATAATGGATGATGATGAGTATAGAGGTTATAAAATTTTAGTTCAAGTTATTCAGATGATCGAGATGGAAAGAGTTCGAAGTTTAATATTATAATATATTTATTTATGTTTATTAAAATAAAATGAATCATCATGTGAAATAGTTGGAGATGAAAATTTTAGAAACATAAAAAAATAAAAAATTGAACAAATATTAATGATCAATTCATAAATGATGATATCATGACATCGAAGTTCAATGTATTGAAGAGAAATAAACGAGTGTGTTTACACGATTTACTATCTGTTAGTGTTTTTGTTTTTCTCATGAGAAAAAATATAATTTTTGCTTCTGAAGATTTCCTGTTTATTGATGGCATAAAAAATATATTTCAATTACTCGTTATCTTGAATGGAAATTTACTTCCCGTTGATTATTTTCAACGAAAAGAAATGAACGAATGAATAATAAGGATGAATATGGGATCGGAATCAGAATAAATGTGAAATGAGAGTGGATTAGTATGAGTGTCTTTCCTATAGTTTCACTTCTCATTCTCATCTCTACTCGTTAACCCCTCAAATTCATGCTTAGTATTTATTTGTTCATTTCTCTCTTCGTCTAAATAATCAATGAGAAAAAAAAATCTTCAGACAAGAAAACAACTAATTGGAATATATATTTTTTTTTTTATTGAATCAATGAGCAGGAAATCCGTAGATAGTAAATCGTACACTCAAAATAAATGAGAAGCTGAATGTTGAATGGTTCTTGTAAAGAAATTCAAACGTATATTTAATGAATATGAATATTAAGTAAATACTTGATGAATTCTTTCTTCAAATCTCGACATTTGTACTTTAATATTTCTTATTAATTACAAAAGAATTTTTTAAATAAAATAAAATAATTGATGATATATATACAATTAAACAATCTTGTCAATATAAATCGTAATATATATACTATTGAACAAAAGAATAATTAAAAAATTGCATGCTGATGTTTTTAAAATCTTAAATTGAATATGAAAGTAATCGTAGATAAATTTTTGATTATTTCAGTTTTCAAAAAATTAATTAAATGATTGTGATATTATATCTTTATTCAAAGCTAATATTGAATTGTACAATCGGAAAATAATATAATAAATTTGCTTGAAGCAAATCATATATGCATACTCAAATTTCATTATTTAATAGAAAAATGAATAGAAAATTTTCAATAGAATCTATCGGATCTATGAATTGACTTTTTTAAATCTCAATCTAGTTTTCTAATTCAATCACAATATAATTTCTCGATTCAAAAGAAATATGAATCTATACTTGATTTACTCTATTTTTCAATATCAAATCACAAAATGTTTTCTTTTTTTTTTTATAAATTTTAAATTTATTTCAGAATATCATTTTCATTCAAATATAATATTAATGTCTTTCAACGATTGGTTATCATCTTCTTCCATATCTCGTCAACCATTATCTACAACAACAAATTTTAATAATAATGTAAAACAACAACATCATCATTATCATTATCATTATTATTATCATTATGCACCTATGATAACATCTATTGCTCATCCATTATATAATCATTGTCAACAATATGATTCTTCAAATACTTCATTTTCTATTGTACCATCAATGTCTATGATTAATCATGAAGTATCATTGAAATATAAAGAAAATTTTCATCGAAATTCAACACTTAAATTACATCGTTGTGTTTCTTTATTTTTACATTTAATTGGTATTTATTTATATGAAAAACAAAAATTCAGTAAAATATATTTTAAGTTTTCTTTTTTATTTTAAATTCTTTAAGATAATTCATCAATAACTGATTTTCTTCAATATGATAAACATTTTCGACATGCTGATAAAGTAAGAAAATAATATTTTTTTGTTATTTTGATTTTAAATTAATCATTTGTTTGTTTTTTTATTTTATTTTTAATATAGTATCTATTAGCAATGACATTAATCTATTTTTGTCGAGCAAAATTACGTGAACATTATTATACAAAAGATTTATTTTATTTAGCATTGTAAGTACACTTCATGTTCATGAGTTACTGTCGTTTGGTTAGATAAAAAAAAATATATATATAGTCCGATTAATGGTTTTTGTGTGTGTGTGAAGATTTACTTTCTATTGATTATTTGGAAAAAGACAAATGAGTAAATAAGTAGTCATTGTGACAACCAATGTATTATCAGAACAAAATTCTAATCAATTTTACAAATGTAATCTAACACGATGTACTATTGATTATTTATAAGGTCGACATGTTCCAATGAAAAAAACATATAAATTTGTCACATCCAAACATTTACATTACTATTAATTTAATATAACAAACAAAAAAAAAATAATCGTTACCATCAATTGCAAGAGTGAGATAATATGAAAGAGATCTAATCAAAGTTGTCAATGTTTTTTAGAGGTAAAAGAATCAGCAAGTATTTTCATTCTCGGAGTACTAGAAGTAGTGATCGGAAAGAGAAGAACAAAATTCACCATAATCCAGCTCCCCTCACAACGGACAACTTGCCATCAGGTCATCATTTCCCCACGGCCGTCTCCAATTCTATTCACATCGCAACATGATTGCCTGCTTACTTTTATTTCATTTTCTGTCAGAGAAAAGCAAATAGTGCTTCAAAACCATGTTTCTGTCCAAAGTCACCACAAAGCTGTAAGAAATTAACAGGAAGTCGCGTATTGTGAAGGGAAATCCTCTAGTCAAGAATCTTGACTTCAACTCCAAAATGTCAGAAAACTAAAGTCATAATAGATGAATATGTAATGAAATTGTGACAATGTTATGATGGAGATTGTATTGACATTGCAGCGTTCTAGAAAGCTACTGGATTAAACTATTTTCAATGTCCATCAAAATGTTAAACAGCCATGTCTCTTTTTGTTTTTTTTTTATTTGTTAGTCCCTTTTTTTTCATCCTAATAATCAACGAAAAGTAAATCTTCATGCAAGAAAATTATATTTTTCCGAGAGAAAAGAAAAACCAATTAAAATTGAAAAAACTATTAGAGCCATGCCTACGGGATTAAAATATGAAAGATGATGTACTTTCCGTTGCTAATCTTAGGAAGATTATTTTATTCTATCTATTTTAAGACACATTTCTTTATTATCCTTTTTCTTAATCTTTCAGAATTGTAATAAGGAAGTATTTCATATATTATAACAAGCCATGATTAATATATGGTCAGTGATGCGGAGCGGAGGGTAGAGGGGCGACGTTTTGATAGGGTTTGTCACGTTTGTGATGATAGTAAATCGTGTAAATTCTATAATTAAATATACATATATAATATCAATTATTTTTGCATATATAGATGGTTAGCACATGATTCTGTTGAAGAAGATCTTACAGCTAAATATGGCTTATTACCATGGGCACTTCAAACAAATGATGGTCGTCCATCAGTTGATTTAAAAAATGATTTTAAAAGATTTTTATCGAAAAAAAATGATCTTTGGACTCGTATGAGCTTTCGAGCTCGAGTTAAACAAGATGAATGTGATGAAGTAAAAAGAAAAGAATTTTTTAAAATAAATTTTCATTTAAAATATTTGATTGAATATAGATTATGCTTATACAACCAAATCATTGGATTTGGCAAAGAGAACGATCAACTGATTATAATAAAAAAATGGCTTTATTAAATCGAAAACAAAAAAATGATACATTAAATACAGAAAATAGTTGTTCATCATCTTTATCAATATCACCTATTGAAAATACAAAGTAAGTTAAAATTAGAATTTTTCTTAGTTTTTTTTTTAATCGAATTTTATTTCCTCAAAATTACAAATTTTTTATTTGTTTTTTTTTAAATTTTCTTTATTATTTCACCCTATTCGTATGTACAGATCAATCATGATTGTCGATAATATAAATCGAAATAATTTTTCTTGGACAAGTGATGATGAAATCGACGAGATAATTATCTTGGATTAATTTATTTTTTTGTTTTTTTGTTTTGTTTCTTTTCACAGGAAAAATATTCTTTACTTTTGTTTGTTATGTGTGATATATTTAGGAACTATGTATATATATATAAATATATTTCTTTTGTTATTTATTTGAAAGAAAACAAGATGATATTCAGGATTAAATTTATATCAAATAAATAAGTAGAAAAATAAAAAATATATATTTTTTTTTTCTTTTATTTAGTTCAGTGAATAATCATAATGGACAATCTGTTCCACTCAATGTATCTATGGATGATGAAGATTGTTGAAATATATTAGTTCAGCTTTTTATTCTTTGTATTATTTCAAATGTTCTGTTTTATTTTATTTTTTTTTTTGAGTTGAAAATATAAAAAGTCAGATTTTAGTTTGCAAGTTTATTAGTAAAAAAAGAATTAAAAATAATAATTTTTATTTGTATTAAATATGTTCGTTAAATAATATATATGTTAATTTGATTTCTTTTTTTTTATTTTGTTAATATATATGCAATGTGTTTTAAATCTCGAATGGAGTTTTAATATGTTATTTTTATTCTCAGTTATAAAAATGTGTATGTTTAATATTTGTTCTGTTTATTATTTTATGTTAAATAATAGAATATGAAAAAATGTAATAATAGAAAAAAAAAAATCTGTTCTGTATGTTAAATTAGTTTAAATGATGATATAGAAATTGTGTTTTAATGTTGAATTAATAAAAATTAGAAAACATGAAAAGTGAAAAATTTATTCAATTGTAGACAAGTAGAATTCATTGAATAATTTAATAGGTCATAGAGTTATTGTTTTTCTAGTCTTATCAAAAACTTTGATATATGAGAAACACAAATTCTTGTTTTTTTTTAAACAATAATCTTTTATCGATATTAAATTTCTAATCCATATGCACAAATTTCAATAGTCATGTTTATAGGATTATTAAGCAAAGAAATAGCTTGGAAAAATTCTTGTCAAAGAAATAGAATGATAATTCAAACAGCTTGGTATATAGAACACTATTAAGGATCGTTATTCAACGGTTAAACAGTATATTTTATAATCTACATTTTTGTAGAGTTCATTATATTTTTCTGTACTTGATGTTTTGTAATTATTGTTATAGAATATCTTGAGATTGTCAATTGATAGATTTGATTTACAGTACAATATGCTGAAAACAATGAGACCATCTATAGAAAGATGAATATTTATTGAAATAAATAATAATGCTTGATCAACATAAGTATGAACATAGAAAAATAATCGAAATATTGTGCTCATTTAAAGATAATTGGATTAGGTTTCGTCGATTTGTCGCATATATGAAACAAATCAATTTAATAGATTTGACTAAGGACTTAAGACTAAATGAATTTATGCTACTGGAAAAAAGTCTTCTATTAGTTTAACTTGTTGCATAAGATAATAATAAAAGAGTGTCATCGGGTACAGAGAAATTACAATAGAACATTTTACTATATGACTTTTGCTGACGAATTTTGTTACGTGTACAGATATGACGAATAGATATAGAATAAATAATCATGGTCAACCTAAATGAAAGTATATAGGCTGTTTTCAGCAGGAAAACATCCGAGATTGAAACAATTATGACGTAATCTTCCGAACCAGAAAGTTTCCGGATTTTCCCATTGACTTCCGATCAAATTCTAGATGTATTCAAAAGTAAAAAATTTTTTTCATTTTTCAATTGATATAATTTAGTAAAATTAGTCTTTCTTTTCTTCCGAAAATAACAAGATTTTGTTTTTCTAAATTATCATGTAACAAAGTTTTATTGTTATAATCATTTATTCATATTCATAAAATATACGAAAACAAAATTTATAGATCTATTTTCATTGATGGTTTTTTTCTCCGGTATTAATTGCTTTGAAAAATAGCTGATGCTATTCAAAGTATATATGTTCAACAACTAAGTCATACACTACCTTCTGTATTCAATGACTTAGATAAATCATTCAGTAGTATTCAATCACAAGATGTATTAGCTCATGTGATGATTGCAAAAATACAAAATAAAGACTTACGAGGGAATCTTTCCAAATTGGAAATCACTTTTGAGTTAATTCTATACATAAGGTAGAACCCAATGAGGTATTTAAAAATTTCATAAAGAAAAGAGCTCGCAAGTCTTTTTCTATAGAGTTATAGCCATTTCACTGAGATTTTAGCTTAAAGCACAGTATATACAAAACAATCAAATGACGATATTTTGATCTGGTATTTTGCTCATAGATAACTCTACTTGTAATTAGAATATTCTGAAACTTTCAGTTCAAAAGAATGTACTATTTACGAGATAATGAATTTCTAAAAAAAAACACATCAGATTTTTGGATCTTTCATGAAACATGAGTGATTTTTAAGAATTCAATATCTTGTGAAGAGAATATTCTTTTGAACTGGAAGCTTCAGGATATTCTAATAATTACAAATAGACCTTTATATGAACGAAATGTTGAGTGCAAACTATCATCATTTGATTCTTTTATATATACCGTGCTACAGGTTAAAATGCCAATAAAACGGCTGCAACTCTGTAGGAAAGGCTTAGGGATCCATATTCTTTAGGGATTTTTAATATTTTAGTGTAATCTGCTTTACGCACAGAGCTGAACTCACAAGCAATCTTTAAGTTGAAAAGATTTTCTCATAAATATTAATTAATTTTGATTTTAATACCGATAGAAGTGATCTTCCTTCGTATATTCTGAAAAATTTATATTTAGAAAAAATTTTTTATAAGTATACACTTGTGAAATGTATAAGAAAACAAACTGATATTCAGATAAACAAATCCATTAAAAATATATGAACATAATCGTCAATATCTATTTTAGTTATCACCATGTAGTAATAGTATTGATTGTCATCGAACATATGAAGCACTTGATCTTGATATAATATCAATTGTATGACATAACTCATTAAATGTTCTCTATGAAAATTAGCATGTTGTAATTATAAATAATTATGAAGAATTAAATAAAACATTTTTATATGAGAAATGAAATATTAAAAAAAGAAATTATTACAACAAAATGTATATCAATATAAAAAATTACATTATGCTATTAAATGCTGTTGAATATTAAATAATTCAAGACATGGAAATAGAGAAAAAAAAAAGAACTTTTCTCAACATAGAAAACAATGTTGGAATGAAGAAAATACAATTAATTTAAAATGTTCACAATTCTTTTCGAACAATATAAAATAATATAATAAAAAAAGAAATAGAATTTAATAAAATTATTTTTAGATTTTATTATCGTCTTCATCGACATAGTCTAGTTTTTCACCAAGTTGAACTTCATAATGTTGTGCTAAATCAACATTTGTTTCAGTCATTTCAATATCAGCAGCTGGTGGAACAAGATGAGACGCCGATGAACATGACCATATTGTATAAATGAGTGATGCCGTAAATACAGATAAAACAGATAAACAAACATGATAACCAAATTGTTGCATTCGAGGTAAAAAAATAATAAGTACATAACGAAGTAAATCAAAAAATTGATTAAGTGAATGTTGCGTACCACCAATACGACCACGAATTTTTTCTGGTACACGTTCTTGTTGTAATTGATTAACGGTTAAATCAGCAATCCATAAACCTAATTAAAATAATTAAAAAAAAGTTAAGATAAAATTTTATCTAAAGAAAATTTACCAAATCTATTCAGAGTTATACCAATAACAAGTAAAAGTACAGATAATTTCGAATTTGAACATTGATATGGTATTAAAGTTGTTGTACTATTATTTTTAGTTAATATTTCATAATATTGACATGAACCAATTGTTAAATGTTGAAATGGACCAAATGATGTTCCATAAACAAATAATGATATTAAACAAAGAATTATCATTGAAAATTCTGACCAAAAACCAATAATACCTGTACGTACAAGACCTGTACATTTAACAAAAAATGGATAAGCAATAGTACCAATAATACCAAGAATTGATCCTAAACCATTTAATAAACCTAAAAAAGCTTCTGATAAACCTTGTTCAATAACATAAGCTAAAATATAAATTTCATAATATAGTAAATATATATATATATATGTATATATTTAATTTAAATTTCTATTAAATATTTACCTCGTGTAACAGAATCAAAACTTAAAACAGTCATATACAGTAATGCAAGTGAAAGTCCAGGTAAAAATACTGATAAAGATGCATATGTTTCTAAACCTTGTAAGGATGTAAAGAACCTAAATAAAATAAAATTCTTTGTTTTGTTTTTTGAATTTGAAGTCTTTACTGTCTTAATGGTCCTTTTTTCTTTTCAGTTAATTCTAAATAAGAAAAATAAATAAATAAAATAAAAATTTATCACATTATATATAACTCCTTTTTTTTTCTAATTTACCTTCATTAGATTTATTAACCGATACTTTATTAGCTAATACATCTTCAGCTAAATGATAAACTCTTGTATATAGGAAAAGTTCGAAACCAAGTGAAACGACATTCCAACCAGCGATTAATACAGCACTAAGCCATCGTGATGTAAATGCCATAATAGCACCTGTTAAAATCGGTGCTAATACATTACTAATAAGATCGATTCGACGAAGCGTTGCATTAGTGTCTATTCTGATTAAGAATTACTTAAGACACAGAATAATGGGTGATGGGAAAGTTTTTAGACAAAATGTTTGTTCACTTTTGGTTGACTAAAAAGTATCAAAAACTATCAGTTAGAACCAAAATTTTGTACGCTTGTCGACTTAGAATTTTCTTTTTGTCTTAGTTTTTTTGTTGTTGAGAGTAATGAACTATTCTTTGAAAAGCTCAAAAAATTAGTATGAACGGAAAATGTTTTGTATTCTTATTATTGTAATTTGAAATTAAAAGTTGGAATCTTTATTTATAGATCAGCTTGTAGATGAGAACTTGCCCTACAAAATGCATTATTTGAAGTTTGTTTTTGTCTTTCGATAATGCATCTCAATTTTTGTTTTTCTTAAACAATCATTTTTGAAAAATTGATAACAGTTTTACGTTGAAAAAATCTCTTTGAAAAATGCTTGTAGTTTCACTTGAGTAAAAGCTATAGCTTAGTATACTATCACATTTTGTAGAGAAGTGTCTAGTCTACAAAATAGCTGATTTCGACAATTTTTATCATACTCAAATAGGAACTTGTAGGGCAAAAAAAAAAATATGTTGGCTCACCATTAAAAATAATTTTTCAGGTCTCTCACTACTCTAGAAAAAAAATAGACAGAACATTTTTAAACCTATACTCAAATTCTGGTTGCGACTTTTAGTTTTTGGTTTGTCTGAAATTCTTTCAAGTAGACCAAAATGAGCAAACATGTTCATCCGAAACGTTGACGTATAAGTTCCATCCAAACTAATATTTTGAGTTTTTCAAAGATTCTTTGACTACTTTCAAGCAAAAAAGCTGAGACAAAATTTCTAAGGAGGAACCTAGTTGAGATAACATCTCGCGCTTAACATGAGACTCCTGTCATTACCTGGGACTTGTTGAGACTAGAAGAAATCTAGATAGATTCTTTCTCACGTACTGACTTTTTGAAGCTATGACCATTACACTGAATTTTTTACCTTGAGCACATTACTTATAAAACAAATTGTACAAAAGAATTTTGGCATAAAACTTTGCCTATAACCAGCTCTTGAAATTATTAGAGTCTCCTAAAAAGTTTCAACCAAAAAGAGTGGTCTCTACTCGACATATCAAATCCAAAAAATACTAGATTTTCTTTCCTTTTGGTAGGATGTAGATCTTCTCTAAATCTATATCCACATCTTTTAACTCATAGCTTTTGACACATCGAAGATACTTTCTAGCTAATCAAAAGTAAACAAACATCTTGTCTAAAAACTTTCTAATCACCCATTAAGACAATGAAAAAAGAAATTTACTAGCTAAATTTTGTCGATTAGAACCATATAATGCGACAACCCAATCTTTTGATATTGATACTTTACATGCTACACTAGATAATGTTGCTATCATACCAATTCCAATTAAAAAACCTAAAATATTCAAATAAATATTTTTGATAATAAAAATAGACAATTAAAAAATGACCTTGAATTATAATCATCCAATATTGTGGAAGAGAAGATTGATAATATAAAGCAATAACAACTAATACAGCCATAACAGCAACAGATAAATTTTGAAAATATAAAGATTTTCGTAGTGCTTAAGAAAAAAATCAAATGAAGTTTTCTTGTTCTTAAAGAAAACATAAATATTTTTTACTTGATAAACGAGGATTACGATCAATCCAATCACCAATAGCTGTAGCAAATAAAATAACAGCTAAATTAAGTGCAATACCATTAAGAGCTACACTCAAAAGATTAGTTGGATTGAGAGAAATAAAATAAATACCAACAGAAAAATTCCACATACGATCACCCTATACAAACAAATAATTTATTACTCATAAAAAAATATTAAATAATTCAATTGTCTACTACAATACAAGTACTTACCCAAGCTGAGAAACCCATTGCAATATAAAGCAATATTTTTGTTTTATCTAAATATAATTTTTATATAAGTATGAAATAAAAATTAATCAAATTGACTACCGTATTTTGATTTATTGGTTTTATCGACATCTGAAGAAGTTTCGGTTAACTGTGGATCTGTCATAGTTGTCTACAACGTGATACACTTATGAATAACAAAATTATATGTTTTGTGCAAGTTAGAACACGCAAAAACGAACGTTGTTCTTTTCACACAAAAGAGTCATGTGTGGTTAATGATAAGACATTAAGTATATAGTGCATTTGATGTTATATATTTATTTTACTTTGAAAAAAAAAGATTTATTGCTCTCCTTTTTTGTTATTTCTTTTTTTTAAACACGACAATGTAATCACAATAAAAGGATGAATCCGTTATCTAACAAAACATTATTCTTTTTGTTTTTAACATTCCAATTGAACAGAAGAATGTTACATAATCATTTTGTTCGGATGATCAATTTTGATAGATTATTATTTATTATGAATTCTTTTTTTGATTATTGTTATGATTACCATCTTCGGTATATGTAAACACTCGTACATCATCTTCAATACTTCGTTGTTGTAGAAAGATTTTGAACATACGTGAAAATGCAAATAGAATTGATTCATCATTACAACGAACTAAATCAGGAAATGCTTTACGAAAATGTATTGTTGCTTCTTCTATTAAACAAAAAAAAAACTTTAAGAAAGTTAATCAAATAATAAGTTCATACCTAAATGATAATGAGGTACTTTAGTAAAAAGATGATGAATTTGATGTGTACCAATAGAATGTAGTACTGAATGTACATAACCGTAATTACGATCAATAGTTGATAATTGTCCTTTTACATTATTCCATTCAGAATCAGCATACCAGGGTATATCACTAGAACAAATTGATTAAAAGTTTTTCTTTTTCTATAATAGAGATGTTTTAAAACTTGCTCATTTATTAAGGATGTTTTTAGTTTTATTGCTAGACTAGAGATATGCATGACCACAATTAAGATATAAGAAAGGAATCATTCCAAGTGTCAAATCGCTTTTGACCGAGATGATGTTCATTTGATGAGTGCTAGTGAGTAATAGAAAAGTCCAGAAGTTTGTTTTTCTGAGTTTTCGTTCTTGAACTATCGAAATTTTACTGGATTTTTTAACAAAAAGCTATGGTCTCTCCCTCAGGTCACTGGGAAAATCGACTTTCGAGTTTCGACTTCAAACTTTGCACGAACAAATTTCTCAATAAAATTTATGAATAAAATTGGTGTTTTACACATGAGAGATTTCTGAGTGTTGAATATCTCAGAATAGGAGATACTAGAAAAGTTACAGCTTGTTCAATGAACTAATCTCATTGAGAACTTTGTTTGTACCAAATTTGAAGTCGAAAGTCGATTTTCCATTTGAGCACAGCTTTTGGTTGAAAAACTCAGTAAAATTTCAATACCCCAAGAACGCAGACTCGAAGAACCGAGCCGTTCTAGACTTTTCTATTACTCACTAGTATTCATCAAATGAATAACGTTTCGGTCGAAAAGCGATTTGGCACCTAGAAAGGTTTCCTCGTAAGATCTTAGTGCGATGTTTTATTATTTATGTGCGAACCTTTGGAAGAGAAAACCCAAAAAAATGCTGCATTTATTAGTTGAAGAAATACGGAGTGTCCAGAAAGTCACGAAACAGATACTAAAATGTGGATATCTTCACTGCGCTCTAACCAAATGAGCCGATTCTTTTCTGAGAATAGAGGACTGTTGCAGGTTTTTATTCATATATAGACAGCTTATTATTTATTGTATTTCCCATCTTTTTCATTTCTGTCAATATGAAGAGAAACACAAAAGCTTTTTCCAAATAACAACAAAAACATACGCATCCGAGCAAAAAAAATGCGTCTTCTCTCTTTCTTTCTCCGAGGCATTTCCTTTCTTTCGTTTGCGATGACATACCGATGTTCTCCTTGAGAGGGATACACCGAAAGCGACGATATACGAAAAGAAAAAAAAAATTAAATATAGTACACGATAGAAGAGCAGATAAAGCAGAACACTGCATAAATACACAATTAAGAAAGTATAAGCAACTATCTAAATATGTATCATGACCATTGATCATAGTATTCTTTCGTGTGAAAATAATACCACTAAAATCTTGCAATGTACATTACTAAACAATTGTGGATATCTATGCTAGTAATGATTTTATATTAAAATTGATTTACATTATTTACTTTATCACATTATAGAGATATGCCAAAAGCTCGAACCATGGAAGAAAGAATCGCAATAGTACGATTTTTTTCAAAGTCTGACAATATGCATGAAGTTCAAAAACAATGGAAAGATCATTTCAATACGACTCTTTCAGCAGTATTCACGATTTCGTCAGTGAATTGGAGGTTTGACGAAACAAGAACAGTTGAAGAGTTACCATGCAGTGGTCACCTGGCAACTGTCTTTTCAGAAGAGAAGCTGGAAGAGTTCGAAGAAATGGCCATTCAAAATTCACCACTGTGTATTCGGCAAGGTACTGCTGGAGCTGGTGTTAGCAAAGCTACCTACCAAGTGGCCATGAAGCTATTTGACTTCAAACCTTATTGTCCAACTTTGATCATAAATCTCAACGACAATGATTTCGGTCGGCGCAACCGTTTTTGCGAAATATAGCTCTAAAAATTCAAATATGAATCTGATTTAATTGATAACATTTTTTAAAACGATGAAGCCAAATTCAACATTAGGCTAAAAATTCAGTAAAATAACCATAATTCGAGAAGAAAAACCTAATGACATGAACCCTTTCAAGACATTTTATCTATACTATGAAAATATAAGCTCAAATAGAAGGTATCAGTTGAAGATATTCTTTCTCGCTAGTTCTATTCTCTATAAAATCTCAAATATGATACATTACATTTCTGTATGATGTAACATCGTTATAATAACCATATAACAGGCAAAAATAAATACTGGTATTAAATGATAAACAAGTAAATTAATGAAACCAAATGAACTTGCATAAAGATACATTAAATAGCACTAAAAGAAAAAGAAACATACAATTAAAAAAAATCTTTATTTTGTTTTTTTTTAAAAATATATACCATTCCTAAATATGTACCGAGTGAAGAACAAGCACCAACGAAATGTCGATTATAGAATAAGGATTCAAACTTAAATAAAAAATGAACAATATTTATTTCTTTTTTAGAAAAAAAAACAAGACTTATTTACTGGATTAAAATGATTAATTGTTCTTGGTGCATAACCATTTATTAAATAATAAAACCAACCAATACCCGGAAACCAAAAGAGAATATCATCTAATAATGATGGTTCATAATATATACCACGTTGTGGATAAAAAATCTCATCTTTATCAATATTACATGTATTCTTATGATGTTTATTATGGGTAAGCTAAATCAAAAATATTAATTTCAATGTTATAATAACAATATGAAATTCTTCTAACGAGTATTCTCGAATCAATTGCATTAAATCTTCATGCTTCTTTCTCTTACTTCATAAGCATAAAAAGTTTTCTATATATGCCAAAATATATAGAATTTATGTCTTCACAACCTTTGCAAAGTTTTGGATTTTTATGTTTACGAGAAAAAAAAAACTTGAAACTAACAACTGTCAGTAATTGTGAATGTTAATTTTGAACGAAACTGTGATAAAGATTAAATTGAACAGCAGAAATATTTAGGTTATTTCGAATTATAAAAAAAACAAGAATGTCATAAGTTTATCAAAAAAAAACTTATACGAGTTTTCTGAAAGCCTGGGGTCTCTACGAAATAGACATATTAAAAATTGGTACTTTTCTATTATCCCGACCACCCTCACCCTCACTCTGCGGTGATCGGGATAACAGGAAAGTACCGAGAAACTGTTTGAAAACTAAAGTCGACAACTTTTTTTGTGATTAAGAAATGAGAGAAAACTACACTGAGATTTGATGCAATTTCTTCTAGGACACCAGTTATATTACCTTCCATGTATAATATGGTGCTAATATCCAAGTGTGTAAGATAGTTCCTAAATAGAATTTAATTTATTTTATTGATAATTATATATATATTTAGTTATTACGTACCAATAATATCATTTAATAATTGATATGAACTAAAACTTCCATGTCCACAATCATGTCCAAGTACAAAAAGTGATGTATAAAGAGTACCTAAGAATAAATTAAATAATAATAAATAATTGATTTTAAAAGAGAGAAAAAAAACAATTAAACCTTGTATACACCAATAAATAGGAAAAAATAAAAAACCATATTTAAATATGTTTTGAATTTGATACATGACAATAAATGTTAATATAACATAAATAATATCTTTAATAACATAACTTATCGATTGACGAACTGTTGGACGAAAACAATGAGATGGTATTTTAAGTTTGATTTCAGATAGTGTCGGTAATCGATGAGGTAATGTTGATAATGATGTTAAATCTGATTGTTGATTATCATTACTTTTAATAAATGTATTATGTCCACCTTTTCCCATATTTATTTTAGTTTCAACTAAATCTTAAATACTTAAAATGGCATGGTAAGTTTTATTTTCTTGCTCTTATAAAAACAAAAGTTCATCTGAAATGCTATGCACTTAAAAGAAATTTATTTTTCAGCATACAAGGTCATTATTATCAAAATTTGAGATTCAAAAGTAAGTTATATTGAAGTCTTCTTTTATTTATTCATAAGATTCTATTTTAGGACATATACGCTTCTCAAAAAACAAAACGAAATGACCTTGTAATAAAAATACTGCTTCAATCAGCGTTCATTGATAGAATACAAAGATGTCGCCGATTATCATTCAAATTTAATGACGTGAATGTGTTATCGACGTGAAATGATACGATCGCTACTTCAAATAGACGCACACAGGTTTTCGTGGGGTCGTTAAAAGGTTATTTTCTTCTTTTATTTCGTTTAGTATAACATATAATACACTAAGAAAGCATGGCATCTAACAAAACGGAATCTACTAAAGGTAACTATAACTGTCATAAAAAAAAAATTTTTTTTTGTTAATTTTAAACTATTTTCTGTTAGTACCACAAATTTCATCTGCAAATAAAGATGAAATTTTATCTGTATTTCATCGTTATGCAAAACATGATCATCGTGATGAACGTTATATGACACCACATGAATTTTTACAAGATTATTTAGGTTATTTAGAAGGTGATAATATTGATCCAACAACACTTGATATACTTGCATCCTTGGTTGATTTAAATAAAAATCAAAGTTCGTTCTTAATAATAATAATAATAAATAAATAAATAAAAACTGATGAATTCATTTTGTTTTTTGCTTGTCCTTTAATAGAAATAACAATAGATGAATTTACTAAATTTGAATCATTATTATTAGCACCAGATTCATTATATCGTCTTGCTTTTCAATTATTTGATCGTCGTGGACAAGGTTTTATAACATTTGATGATTTTCAATATATAATATCAGCAACAAAACAATTTAAAGAATTTCCATATAATTTTGATTCGGATTTTATTCGAATGCATTTTGGTGTTAAACGAGAACGACAAATAACATATAAAGAATTTACACAAATATTACATGGTAAGAAAAGAAAAAAAAGAAACATGAATTATATTTTTTTTAAATTTTTTAATAATAAAAATATAAATTTGTTTTAGATTTTATTGATGAACAAACAATTCAAACATTTCGTAAACTTGATAAAACAAATGATGGTTATATATCATTAAAAAGTTTTGAAACTATACTTAAAGAAATACGACAATATCAATTATCAGATTTTATTTCAACACATTTACATGATATTGTTACATTATCATCATCAAGAGAATCACCATATCAAATATCATATCCATATTTTACAGCATTTTTACATTTATTATCAAATATTGAATCAATGAGAAAAATTTATTTAGCTGTATTTGAAAAAAAAGCACATACATATAAATCATCATTAATAACAAAAGAAGAATTTTTAACTGAAGCACAACATTTTCCACGTACAACACCATTACAAATCGATATATTATTTGCTATAACACGTTTATTACATCAACATACTTTAAATAGAGATATTACAACAGAATATATTGAATTAAATGATATTGATATAATATGTGCTAAAGAACATTTATTACCATATCGATTACGATCAGAAATTGTCGATGAACATTATAAAATTGGACATCAAAGTGTTATGATGAAAATTCTTGAAAGTGGTTATAGATTTGGACTTGGTAACAAAAACAAAAAGAAAATTTATTAATAAATAAATAAATAAATAAAAAATTTATTTAGGTAGTATTGCTGGTGCTGTTGGTGCTACGGCTGTTTATCCTATTGATCTTGGTATGAATATTTATTGATATTAAAAAGAAAAAAAAATTGATTGAATTTTTATTTTCTAAAAAGTAAAAACTCGTATGCAAAATCAACGAACTACAAGTATTATTGGTGAACGTCTTTATAGAAATTCTTTTGATTGTTTTAAAAAAGTTATTCGACATGAAGGTGTATTTGGTTTATATCGAGGTAAGATTTAAAATGAACGAGATTTGAAAAACAAAATTCAAATAATAATAAATCATTTTAGGTTTAATTCCTCAATTAGTTGGTGTTGCACCTGAAAAAGCTATTAAATTAACTATGAATGATTTTATTCGTGATAGATTAACATTAACTGATGGTACTATTCCACTTTGGGCTGAAATTGTTGCTGGTGGATGTGCTGGTGCATCTCAAGTACTTAAAAGATCTTTTATTCTTTTCTTTTTTCTATTTGGTTTTTTATTTTGGGTACTTTTCTCATTGACATTTTTAACTTAAGGTAACATTTACTAATCCATTAGAAATAGTCAAAATTCGTTTACAAGTTGCTGGTGAAATTCAATCTGTACGTCGTCCAGCTGCAAGTGAAGTTGTACGTGAACTTGGTTTTCGTGGTTTATATAAAGGTGCTCGTGCATGTTTTCTTCGTGATATACCATTTTCAGCTATTTATTTTCCTGCATATGCTCATACAAAAAAATATTTTGCTGATGAACATGGTTATAATGATCCAAAAAGTTTATTTATTTCTGGTCTTCTTGCTGGTATACCAGCTGCTGGTCTATGTACACCAGCTGATGTTATTAAAACACGTTTACAAGTTCAAGCACGAAAAGGACAAACAAAATATAATGGTTTAATAGATGCGTTTAAAAAAATTTATATTGAAGAAGGATGGACAGCTTTTTGGAAAGGTTAATTAGAGAATTTAAATAATACAAAACAAAACAATAATTTGTTTTTATTTAAATAAAATTTTAGGTGCTGGTGCACGTATGTTTCGTTCATCACCACAATTTGGTTTTACATTACTTACATATGAACTTCTTCAACGTGCATTAAATCTTGATTTTCAAGGTAGAAAATTAGAAGGTTCAAAACATATTGATCGAGAACAATATTCACCTAAATCACGTGCATCAATTATACTTTCAAGTAATCCTGATCATGTTGGTGGATTTCATTTAGCTCAAGCAACATTTGAAGGTTAAAAATTTATGTTTATATTATTGAAACGAAAAACTTTTTTGTTTTTTATTTTTCTTAGGTATTGAAACACGTTTTGGTTTGACTTTTCCAAGATATAAAACATCAACATCGAATGAGTCACCATCAACAATTCCTCCATTGACTAAATTACTCGGTGTTACTCCACAAATTAATACATCAAATTAGAAAAAAAAAAAAAACAAAATAAATAGTCTTCCGATTTTTTAACAAAACTAAAAAACATCTAGATTAGACTGTAATTGTTTTCCTTTTGTTTTAGTTTAACAATGGTTTAGGATTTGTTGCTAATGTTGTAACCTGTGATTCTTCTTGTGTGTTCTACTTCTTTCTTTTTTCACTTATTTAAATGGGATAGTTATTTTTATTGTGTGTTGAGAATAACAAAACTATATGGTTTGTTAAATCAGAAAAGGAAAAAAAAAATACAAGATATGATTCTATAATAATGTTTATTTATTTTATGATTTCATCTTTTATGAAGAAGTTTTATAATAGATGTTTAAATGTCAAGAGGACTGCTTGGTTCTCTTTTTATTTTGTTTTAGTCAATTATTATTTTATAAGGAAGAAGAACAATCATGCATATATAAATAGATCTATAATAATATGCGATGGAAAAGTTTTTGAAAATATATCGAGACTCATTTCTCAATAGTCTAACACAGGATTAATTTGAGTTTTGTTCCTTGTTGGAAATAGGAAAGTCTGGATAATGAAAAATGCCTATATTGTTAACATTTTTACTTTTATTCTATTATGATAAAACTTAAATGCTGAGCAACCTTTTAAAATATCTTTGCAATATTTTCAATTGCGGGCTTCTTGACTTCACCTGTTTCAAAGTTTAAGTTAAATTCATCATGAATAGAACTTCGCAATCTTTATCATTTTATCTATATGGAGATCTGTTTTGCTTACCTGGTCGATTAGAGATTCTCTTTGATAATGTTTTCTTCGCTTGAATATTGGTATGATAAAAATTGTGAATTTACAAAACAAAATAGCGAATTCTCAAAAGCTCTGAAAAATAAATGGAAATTTTTCAAAATTTATACTTTAGATACAGTCTTTTTAGCTCTCTCTAACGGTATATTTTGGTCACAACTTGTAGACATTTGACTGATACTAATTGCCAAATAATTATTTTCGATTATTGCAAAGGTGTTTTCAGAATGTACTCGAGCAGAATAATTGAAACAGACAAAATAATTTCTTACTTTATCTATATACTCTTGAAACTTTGTTCTTTCAAACAAAAGAAAAAAAAAAGCGTTATTGAAATTTGTGAAACAGTTGTTTCCATAAAAAATAGCTGTGTATGTTACTTTCATAGTTATTATTGTATTCAAAAATAAATATATAGTGTCATACTTGTTACAAATTAAAATATAGGATAATAATTTGAATATTACATTTATAATTATTGCTAAGTTTACATGAATCACATATTCGATTTACTAGATATAATATCATGAGTTGTTGATAGATATTTCTTGTTCAAGAACATAAATCTCAAATTTAAAGTGAATCAAACAATCGGAAACGATAATATATAAATTGTTAATTTATCTACTATTCAATGTTATCTATAGTGTCATCCATCACTTTTCTTCAGACTATCAGTTATATATATATGAAGATATAGTAATGATGGATATACTTAATCCTATTCTGGTTTTTGACTTGAATTGAAACTTGAACAAAAATTGAAATAGAATTATTAATTTACATAAATATGTAGGAAATTAATAATTCTATAACAACCGATTCCAATTTTTAGAATAGGTACATTCCTATAGCGATTAAACACGAATACGAAAGAAATGATTTATTTTTCTGAGAATAACCAAGTTCAAAGATTATAACACTACACATTTGCTTTAAAAAAAAACAACCGTTTTTCTAGCATAATTAGTAAAGACTTTAACAAGTTGA